GGGGGAAAGAAACCTTTGAACTGATGCTGGGTGGTGGGAATCTGATGTCGGAGGCCAACAAGCCACGTGCTGAAGACCAGATGGCTGGTGGGGAGGTGGGGCAATGGGTGATACTGGCAGCGGATGTATTGATGTGCATAGTGATGGGGGGAAGGAACCTTTGAACTGGTGTTACCTCCTGCCTCCGCAATTGAGGTCAAGCGGCTGTCAGCGATGTCCTCAGGTGAAGATGTTGTGGGGGGGGGTGCTTGACCCCTTCCCTAAGGAGCCGCAAAGTGCTCACTGCCCCTCTGGCACCCACCAAGCCTCCTCCTTCGCACTGGTTGTGTGAGCGGTTCTGGTAAGGAGGAAAAGAAGCACAGTGGGAGGAGGCTTGGCAGCTGCCAGAGGGACAGCAAGCACTTTGTGGCTCCTAAGGGGAAGGGCCGAGCCTCTCCCTTGCAACATCTTCACCTAAGGGCATCGCTGACAGCTGCTTCCTGTGGCTCAGGAGGTCCACGCTCTTCCCACTACTGCTTGACCTCCTCGGTGCGCAGAGGCAGGAGGCAGCAGCCACGACACTGGTTTGCTAGGGAGACTGCAGGATTGCCCCACCTACCTGTCAGCCATCTGGTCTTCATCACATAGCTCATTGGCCTCCGGACATCAGATTCCCACCACCCAGCACCAGTTCAGAGCTTCCTTTCCCCCCACCCCCATCTCCTCGCAGGCCAGGGAACACCCGGGAAGGGCTCCGATTCCTCAATCTCCTGCATGCTTCCCTCCCTCCCTGCGCACATCAGTCCATCTGCAGCCGGTATCACCCCTGTTGCAGACATGGGTGTGCTGCGGACCACCAACATTTTCTCACGGACCACCAGTGGTCCATGCCCATCGGTTGTGGTTCTTCTAGAACCACTGATCTGGAAGACTTCTTTGAATCAAAACAAAGTTTGTTTGATAAGGTCTATAACACTGACCTTTGCAGATGTTTTGTTTTGGCTTATTTAGGATAAAAATTGTTGACAGTTATTCTTTCACCAGTAATTGTTGCTTAATTCCTTGTAGTTGATGTTTATATTTTGCATTGGTCCATCATTTTCTGCTTCTGTTCCTTGTAGTATTTGAAGATGCAGATCTCAACCTGGTCATTCCATCTGCCCTCTTTGCAGCTGTGGGTACAGCAGGCCAGAGGTGCACAACTGCTAGGAGGCTGGTAAATAATTATTCATATCTTTGTGTATTTTGATACCTGGATGGATAGACACATATATAGTCAGTTAGACAGGCAGGTATATAATACATACAGAAATAGACAGACAATGGATATATCGACATATCTCTTATTCTATTCATATCTTCTGCATAATCTTGATAGTAATTATAAATTTGTGCATACTACTCTTTTGGCCGCAGCAAATATACTATAATATTTTCCCATAGAGATATTGTGCTCTATTTGTTCTTTACTTCCCATCCTATTTCAGTTTAGAACAAAACAAGAGAAAGTTTGAATAAATTTAACCCTCAGTCTGAAAAGGTAAAAGTAATGTACTTTTTACTGCTTCTTTTTAAATGTCCTTCCAATTCTATCCTGAGTTGCCAAATATCAAATTGAAAATAAAATGCTTAAGTACACTCAGGCACATAAAATGGAGAAAGGTTACTTGTCATAGCTTTACAAAAGTTAGACTCTAATAAAATCAGGAAGATCTTCAGAAGATACCGTAGTTTTCCACAGGATGTTGAAGTTGTGCTCTTATTGCCAATAATATTCATGACTTTCTGCTTAGTTTTTGCATGAAAGCATCCATGATGTAGTTGTGGAAAAACTCATGAAGGCATATGCTCAAGTCCGTATTGGAGATCCATGGGATGGTAAGAGCTTCATTTTATTCATGGAAATAGACTGTGATAGTACTTGGCTAAAATCTAACTAGCTTTACAGTAGTTTTTAGTATTGTGCTCAGGCCAACTCAGAGAACTCTTTCCTTTGTTTATAACCATACCCTGATGTTCCATGTAGTAATGAATGATATACATGAGTAATCATGTACTAATATATAACAAAGTTGTTTCAAGCAATTCCAGGTATAGCCATGAGCTCTTTAAATAAATCTAATGGATTTTTCATTATATTCTTATACATTTTATTTGGATTCCACTTAGGCATTTTTTTTAATTGCAGCAAATACCTTATATGGTCCTCTTCATACAAAGCAAGCTGTTAAGATGTTCCTTGATGCAGTGGAAGTAGCCAAACAGCAAGGTGGTTCTGTTGTCTATGGTGGGAAGGTGATTATTCTCATTTACATCTATAAAATAAAACGTAAAACCAGTGGTGTTGAAGAATGTGTTGCTCTGACCAATACTCCATTGCCCCCATCAAACTATTGTTGCTTTTATCCTTCACACGATAAATAATCTTCATCTTCAAGTTTTGTTTCACGAGATTAACTACATATATTTCCTCTTTGAACAATGTTCATATAACCTGTAGTAATGTACACATTATCATGCTTGAAGAATACCAATCCAAGAAGTGGCACTTTGTTGAATTTAGTCAATTTGAATACAATCATCTTTAATACTTGAATAGGTGAACACTTGGAATTTCCAGAGGTAGACGAGGAAATTAAAAAATATATTGCTGTGGAGGAGTGCCTTTTGCCACTACAAAATGAAGATAAAGTAACAGATGTGTCCATGAAATTTTCTGGAATTTAACTTGACTTGAAAAAGACTTCATACTTGTAAACATAGATTTCTACAAAATTGAAGCAGAGCAATGACTTGCTTTGACTGTATGAAGCTTAATTACAGGAGGCTGAGAAGGACCAAAATATAGACCTTTTGGGGTAACTTTCCAATCTGATCATAGGGTTTTGTATTGATAATTATTAATCTATCTTATATTGTCCTTGTTTGGCATGAGTAGGGTTATTGCTATGGTGGCACAGTGGTTAGAATGCAGTACCGTGGGCTACTTCTGCTGGCTGCCAGCTATTTGTAGTTTGGCAGTTTGAGTCTCACCGGCTCAAGGTTGATTCAGCCTTCCATCCAAGACTGAGTTCCCAGATTGTTGGGGGGAATATGCTGACTCTGTAAACTGCTTAGAGGGGGCTGTAAAGCACTGTGAATCGGTATACAAGTCTAAGTACTATTGTATTGATATTACTAGTTTTTAAGAAGCTACTTCCAAAGAAAGGCAAATCTCTTGATATGAGGAGTTAAATGATGACTTTTCTGAAGACTCAACTTACACTTACATATTTCTGACAAACCAATATTTAGAATTGCAGTTGTATAGTTGCTTTTAGGTATGTTTTGTGTGTTGCAAACACAGCTGTTGAAGGAATTTTATGCAGTAGATATTGGCATATAGAGAAATTGATTTGGCTGAAACTTGTGGATTTTTTTTTTTCATTCTCTTTTAATTTTAAGGTTATAGAGCGTCCTGGAAACTATGTTGAACCAACCATTGTGGTTGACCTTCCCCATAATTCTTCAATTGTGCATACAGAGACATTTGCTCCTATTCTCTATGTGCTCAAATTTAAGGTAAGTAAAACAGTTCTTCAGCTAGATGCTAGCAAGGGTATATAAACTTGAAATCCAATGGATTACAATAATAGTGCTGGGCGTTATTTCAGCTGCATGAGTTTTTTTCCTGTTTTGGATGTACAGTAATTATCTCAAGTGCTTGGGAATTGTTGGTGGTAGTCCTCTGGGATTACCCGAGGACATTGCACAAGGTATATTGAGAAGTCAGTGCTATGATAAGTCCTCTCAGTTCTGGGACCAATAAGATGAGTACAATAAAACCTGGAAAAGTGAGTATTTCATCATAACATCCTGCTTGCCTTATAGTTTGAAGCACACTTCAATCTTTTTGAGACTTAGGCCTTGCACATAGTTAAAAGTTTCAGAAGTTCTAGTTTATCATCTTATTTTTGTGGTTATATTTAGTGCTAAGTTCATGTAGTTATTTTTTAATTATTTTGCTTTCCAGACAGAGGAAGAAGCTTTTGGTTGGAACAATGGTGTGAAACAAGGCTTGTCCAGCAGCATCTTCACTAAAGATTTGGGCAGAATATTCCGATGGCTAGGGTATGAATCTTCCCTTTATTTTAAGAAGGAGAATATGAATCTGATTAAAATATGACATAACTTAATTGTTGAATTTTTATTTCTTCTCTTTTTAGACTATTCATATACATGGTATATCCAAAGTCAGGTTTTATAGACAGACTCCATAGAACATAGACATAACTTAATTATATAAATAAATGTAATGATTGAACTGATTTTATTTTCTTCTAAACAAATAATTAAGTAAATACTGCTTCCTTATTCCCTTATGGTGTTTCTCAACCTTGGCAATTTTAAGAGATGAACACTTCATGGAATTCTGGGAGTTGAAGTCCATGTATCTTAAAGTTGCCAAAGTTGACGAATACCGTTTAACTCACAATCTTGGTACGTTCCTAAGTACAGTAATATTATGAAAACAAATATTAATCAATAAAGAAACTGATTGCTCTATGGGGCCTGACTTTTGGAACACATTATATATTTCTAAATTTTTTATTATTTTTAATTTTAAAAAGCCAAAAGACAAACTAGCAAAGCATAGAAATGAATATACACTTTTAAAAACTGATAAACAAACCTGAAAGAAAAGAAAATTTTATAAAGGTTACATAAGAATGTATCTATGTGGTATCTGTTTATTCACACATACACTTATATACAACTCTGTGATTTTAAAAGAAGTACAGATATTTTAAACATTTGTACAGACAGAGATGATTGTTGTGGAAAACATTTTAATATAATCCAGAAATGGTATTCTGATTTGATTGAATTTATTTTTCTTTATAGAGTTTTGCAAAGTTAGATTGTATCTAGATTGTAAACCAGTATAAGGATTTATGTTCAGTGATTCTCTGACTTTTTCTACCAAAAAGGCCAGTTGGCTATTATTATCAGAGATGATAACATGCCAACTTGTTTACCATCCCTCTGACACAGTTCAAAATATCAGAATGAATATGATACAATTTTAGCCAAATGTTATGCCACCTATGGCTTTTTATATTAGTAATTTCTAATGCTTTGCTGAAATAGATTTATGTGGCCTCTTGTGCCTCAAAAGTGCAGATGAAATATTCTAAATTCATATCCCTGATAATTCTCTTGAAGTTTAAGACTTTCAAAGGAGTTCATGCTAATTACAGTTTAGTAAGCATCTTTTTCGTTCTGCCTAGGCCCAAGGGGTCAGATTGTGGAATTGTTAATGTCAATATCCCTACCAGTGGAGCTGAAATTGGAGGTGCATTTGGTAAGTTGTATAGATATAGCTAAGTCTCTGTAACTTTGTTACCTTATACATAGAACAAGCGCTTGTAAATGTTTCAGGATAATTCTGTTCTCCAATTGCAAATTATTTCTGCAGAGAGTGTGTTAAATGATGACTGAACAGGCTAATGTTTGTTGGTGTGTTAATAGGGATCTGCACTTGGATTTCTTTGTAAGCAATTCATACTTCTGCACTTGACTCCTTTCCCTTGATTGTAGGATTGAAAACAATTACTATTTCGAGAATTGGATACTACTTCATGGCCTCATGTGTTGATGCGAGTGTCTCCCAGTTCCCTGTCTCCAAAATCTCATATAAGAATGCTGACATCTCATGAGATTTAATGAACTAGTTTGGAATTTGAGCTAAATATATATTTAACTTAGATGTCAGGTATATTTGACGACTGTTTGGGGAAATTATTCTGGAATGTTTGGGGAAATTATTTGCTTCATCTTATAAAATTATTCTGAAAGTAATCTGTGCTGAAGAATTTGCAGATTACAAATAGTTCTTGTTTAACAACTATTTGTTCAGTGACCATCTAAAAATACAAAAGGACTTGAGACACATGCCTGAAGTTGCTGAGGCTGTTGCAGAGTCTCCACAGTCACGTGATTATGGCAACCCATTCACACTTAATGATAAGATTGTCAGGCAGTTATGGGATTGCCATTTGCAGTCTTTCCTAGTGGCTTCCTCAGAAAGTCAGTGAGAAGCCAGTAGGAAAGGTTGCAAACCCCTCTGGTTCTGATATGGGCCTAAATCCAAACAGGATTTGTAGCATGGAGTATTTGTAGCCAGTCCTCAGAAATTGGAGTCCAGCACCAGAGTTTTCCCCTCTACCAGTAATCCAAGTTTTTTTCTCCAGGGTAGCACTGGAATTAGGGATGCCTACACACACATACCCAATGCACAGAAGGGAACTTCGTGCTATGAAAATGTTTTGTTTGTATGGGACCTAGAAATGCAAATAGAACTGCATGGTTTTAAAAAAAGTTCTATTTCTATCATTTCTATTCTCTTTCCTCTTCTAGGAGGTAATAAACACACAGGTGGTGGAAGGGAATCTGGTAGTGATTCATGGAAGCAGTATATGAGGCGATCTACCTGGTAAGATCTGTAGAGTTTATGTACACATATAAAGTATTTTTCCATAATTTGGTGTCCTCCAAATACTTTTGTAATTTCCCAGGCATACCTCCGGTGTATTGGGTTGATGATGCTTGGTATAAATGTTCTCCTAATAATTCTAAAGATGGGCAAAGAAGCTTATCAAAGGGCAAGAATGTAGTATCTCCTTAGAAAATGTTCAAAAAAAATTAATGGGAAAGAAGGGAGAAAATATTAAGTATCGAAGAAATTGTCAATACATGCATTTGACATTTCATTTAATTGTAAAACTGAATTAAATCAAATTTAGTTCTCATTTGGATCCTGACTCTTTTTGGCTTCTAAGCATGTCTCTCAAAGTTTAAGGTTGACCTCTATTTGTGTCTCTTTCCTCTTGAGGCACATTTAAAGCAATGCAGTAGTTCTAAATGTAGGATTTGCAGCAAACTGCTTAATCAGCTAATTTTCTTACAGGGGGACTAGCATACTCTGCTAAGAATTTTAATAATTTGACCTTAAAAGTTATGGTATATATGAACTTGGAATAAATATAAACATTTATATCCTAAAAGCTGCATTTTAGAGGATTTTATGTTTTATATCTGCGAAATTTTGTGAGGAAACTGCAAAGAGATTTTAAGGGGAGTCAAGCATAATATTCGTGAAGTGACTGAAATGTTTCTAGGTCATCGTAAAAAGACCATGGCAAACACTTATTAAGGTGATAGTAAGGTTGCTGCTGTGAATTTTGCTTGTTTATGGAATAAGCAGCTTTAATTGGTATTTAGAATATGGAAGATGGTAGTAACTGATTTTTGGATATATAGCATATAGCAATATACACCTGTGCTTTCTTAGTAGGGTGTGCAGAATGTTCTATCCAGAAATATTCCTGTTTTGGAATAGCTATGCATATGTCCTCTAATCTGATACAGAATCTTTTTCACTCTTTTTCTTTAATTAACATATCTGAAGCCTTAAGACACAGAATGGTTCACTAATTGAAATCTGATGATTCTGTATAATTTGTTCTATAGTACAATACAGAATTGTTAGAGAGAATTATTCCTACCCTGTTTCTCCAACAATACGGCCTCCCCCAATAGGGAGTCCCAGCATGTTTTATAGGCATGAAATGAAATTAAGCCCCTCCTCCCAAATTAAGGCCTATATTAAAACATGCAAAATGGGTGGGAATGGTGGGGGGAGCTTGCCGTTAGGAAGTACTTTTGTTGCACACCCGGATAGGGTGCTGCCTCCGTTGACCCTGATACGAAGTGCACCACCAATGCCGAGGTCAACATCCAAGCCGTCGCCGCCCGCCCGAAGATGCAGAGGTGGGGGAATTAAGTCACCGCCGAAAAGACATCCTAGTCATTTTTTCGGGGCTCAAAAAAAAATAAGACCCAGCCTTATTATATGAGAAACACGGTATATGTTCATTCTAATTCTTTTCATCCTGCTATTTTGATACCCCTTACTTGCATTGTTAAATCTATTAGATATTATGTAGCAGTTCTGAATTAAAAAGAAACGTTAAAATTTAAAAGAGTGAGTTTGGTGTAATGGTTAAGGTGCTGGGCTTAGAACCAGTAGATTGTGAATTCTAGTATTGCTTTTAGGCTTGAAAGCTGGCTGGGTGACTTTGGGCCAACCACTTTCTCTGAACTCAACTCATTTTAGAAAGTTGTTGTGAGGGAAATAGGAGGAAGAAGCAGTATTAGGTACGTTTGTCACCTTGAGTTATTTTTTAAATTAATAATATCTGAAAATTAATAAATCTAAAAAAGTAAAATGATACCTGAGCATGAATACAGAAACTTCCTTAGCAACCTGCATACTGTCTTGATGTACTTCCATTTGAATCCATGTTCTCAACTCTGAAAATGTCTTTTCACCTGACTGATTATTCTAGAAACTCACTGTTGAGCTAGGGTTAGCTTTGTCTAGATGGGCTTTTTCTAAACTCTGCATATTTTAAGTTTTCCATTTTATCTTTCAGCACAATTAATTACAGCAAAGATTTGCCTCTTGCTCAAGGAATCAAATTTAATTAAGAGGCAGGTGGAAACACTACCTTTGGTGAACCTTGCAGTAAGAAACCAAACGTCTATTGATTTCAAATCCACAGACAACGGCTACCTGAAATATCAAGCATCGAGGTTGTTTGTAACTGCTGCACTGGTCTCATCCAGAAAATTCAAATTATGTTATGTACGCCAGTCATGTTAACAATGTGTCCAAGACTCTGATTCTGAGCAGTGGAGAGCAGATGAAGAGTTTGGCAGTGAAGTAGAATTTGGATTATGAGCTACAAAATTTGGATTATGCATAAATCCTAAAATCCTAACTTTGCCACATTGGCAGAACAATGGCAGCCAATGTGTTTGGAAATAATTTATATGATATTGGCTTCACTGCAGAAATAAACTATTTTATAAAGCTCTTGTTATCGTAGAGTACTTGTTTGTTTACTTATGTAAAAATGTTCTTTTTTTGGAAAACCACAGTATCTTCCTTCAAATGAAATCTTCCCCTATATTAGAGAGGATTATATTTAGAGTAGAATTCTCAACCTAATGTTGCAATTCATGCCATCTGCAACTGGCATAGCTGGTATGATAGACATTGTGGTCCTGTGCATCTGGAGGGCACCAGGTTAGGAAGGGATAGTGTGATATATGGAATGAAGCCACCTGCCTTCACCTTGAAACAGAACTGGCAGGTGGATCAGAGCTGGGTAAACAGTCTTAAACAAACAGTGACAAATTCTCCTTTAGGGCTAAGTTGAAACAATCAGTGCAGCGATAGCTTCGTTCTTGTTATACAAAAATTCCTTGAGTTTTGTTTTGAAGCTTTTGATGACTCCTCAAAATGTTTATTATTCATTCAGGTACTAGAATCAAAGTATTGCTTTCAGGGAGTTATAGAAAGCTTAACAGGGTGTTTTTTAAAGCTCATGGGAGGAATAGAGTGAGGCTCTGAGAAATACAGCCTTCTCTTTCAACCAAGCAAAAGCTTATTTCCCCAACCCTATTTTTTAAAATTATATTTAAAAAGTTTAAATTATCACTTTTTTAAAAAAAATATGAATGAAGTAGGGCTATTTATAATCATATTTCTGATTTTTTTATATATGTGAGTGAGAAGATTGCTAAAGTGCATATCTAGCAATCTCTAATGATGAAAGATCCATTTTTTGGTCTTGATTGTAAGATTATAAGATACTTGTATTATGTTTTGTATGTTGTTAAATATAAGCAAATTAATATAACCATCCATCTCACCAAACTCTGGGCAGTGTATAAAGCATAATAATGAAAATCATAAAACACTTAAACATAAATGAACGAAAAGACATAAACACATAAATATCCAAAATTTAAGGAGAACAGCTATCACTTGACATATTGCAGGTTCACTGTGGAATCCTCAAGGAAGAATTATGTTTACAGGATTTTCCATAAGGCAGGGATTGAGCCAACTTCACCTTGGGAATGATGTTCCAGAAATGGGGGCCACAACAGAAAAGGCTCTGGCTGCTGCATTGTTGCAAGATGGAACTCCTTAGTAGACAGGACCTACAAGCACACCTTTTGCTTAACCTGATGGAACAGGTAGATGTGATCAGGAAGAGGGACATGGGCAGTTTTCAAATATGATAGAGAAAGAAAGAAAGGCAGGCCCTTAGACAACCTGATCCTATGCCATGTAGGCTGTAAAGGTCAAACCCAGCACCTAGAATTCCAACTTAGAAGCAAATTGGTAGGAATACAACTCATGGAACAGGTGTAATGTGTGCCATCCTAGGGGTGCCCGACTGCCATAGATGCATTCTGCACTGAAACTCCTGGATACTATCCAAGGGCAGCCATATATGGGGCATATTAGTACTCCATTCTGGAGATGACCAAGACATGAAGTATCTGTAAGTAATTAAAAGTAATAGGCATTTGGAGAGGATATGGGCTTGTTTTGATTAGAACTCTTAAGAATTTTAATCATATTCCCTTATAAATTTTAATGCACAGCATGGAAAATAGGTGAATATAAAAAGAAATGAACGAGGCATGAAAGTTCTTATGCACAAATCTTTTTTTAAAATGTGGAATATAAGAATGGGATAGAAATAAACTCTTCTGACTCATTAGCCTTTATTTGAATCTGTTTACTTGCAAGGGAGGAATGAAAATGAAATTCTACAGCATTACTTCTGGTATTATGTTGAATTGTGTGATTAGGGAAACAGCACTGCTTGCTTTGGGAAATATCAATCTCCCAAATTGTAAAAGAAATCAAATTTTATTTTAAAACAAAAGGATAAAAACGTTTTTATACTTTAAATACTCATATGCAAATGTGAAGGAAATACAATCATGGTATTGCAAATACACAGGAAATGATGACATTATGATGGAACACAGAATAGTGCTAGTTTACAGGCAATTTTGTTAAAAAGCTAAAGGGGTTCTAAATTGTGCACAAAACCACATAGTTGAATTTGTAAGACAATATATAACAAAGCCCCCTAAAAAGACCATTTATTAGCAGACACAGAAATTCTTATTCTTAGTTCTTATTTACCTTTTTCTTGTCCTTCCATACTATAGATGGCTCTTGCAACAAATATCACCTCTTGATTACCTCTTTATTATTAACTCTTTATTCTCTGAAAAATGCTTCTTCCTGAAAATTCCACCTTAAATCCAAGATTGGAAGTCAATCTTAGCTTTTTCTCTTCTCCCTTCTCAACTGGGTGCACATTACATTTCTTCTTTTCATCTTGGTGAGTGTTCTATCCGGGATCTACTCTCAGAGGCCTCCTAGGCAAGGGAAACTTGTTTACAAGAGTCCTAGATATCAATACTCAAATTGACATGCAATTATTGGCTAAAAAGTGGATTAGTTGGCTAAGAATAAAACTATTTTTCAACATGAAAAATATTTGTCATTGAGTCACACAATTTTTAAGAGGAATCTATTTTAGAACAAGATTTTGAGTGTTGGATAAGTGCTTCCACCACATGCCATATTTTGAGAGAAGCTGCCTATAGTGTGTATGTACTTCAGACCCCAATACATTGAACAAATTGGGATACTTTAAGGGAGAGTCATTTATCTGATTGCTGACATTTTGAATTACCACATAAGTATTTTATCTTATCTTTCTTCCTATCTTATTTTATTTTGGAACTAAATTGTGTACTGTATGTTATCAATAAGGTTGCAAGATTACTCCATAAAATCCTCCTTCACCTCCTAAGTTCTGAGTGCAGTTTTCCAAACAATGAAAGCTCTTCTGACTGACAAGAAAGGACTTAAGAGAACATCTCTTTATGCTACTTTTTAAAGTAAGCATCTCTCCGTCAAGAGGATGTTGATTTGAATGTCTGAGCTGGCAGTTTACTGTCTGGCCTGGAAGCCTGGCAGGCAGGCTGCCATAGCGGGTTGTTACACAACATTGTTATTCTCCAGATGTGTCAGATTATAGTCCCATTGCCCTTAATGATAGGAACTACCGTGTTTAATGCCTGACTGTGTAGCCATTGAAGAAGACTGATTTTATAGAATTGTCAGGTCCAGGTACTGACTCACTGCTACTGACTCAGCAATTTTTTTCAGCCACTCCAGTGGGAACAGCGCACGTGACCTTTAGCAAATGTATTTGGCAGGGATACCACATTACAGATAAGCTTTTAAGAACACCAGTATTTATGGGAAGCTAATAAAACAAAGACAAGTTTAAAGATACCGTAAACAAGTTGATGTTCCTTAATTTCTAGCTTAATTATCAAAGGCTATTTGAGTAGATTATAAACTGCGGTAGCAGCTAGCTGATTATTGTTCCCTGAGGAACCCTGTTTGAGTAGTTGTAAAATATGTCCTAGACCTGCCACCGCATTATGTGTGGCAAAAAGCTGTATGGAATTTAATACAGCTGCTGCTTGCAGCTTCTGCCTTTGCATATACTTAATTACCATTGAATTTGTAACATCAGTGACTCCTGAGTGCTAAATTACACGGGCGATCAATAATTCATTTGCTCTCCTTGTATTGTTTTACTACAGAATGACCTTGTGAGAAAAAAGCAGCTGAAAATTAATGTTCTCTTCTTGGAGTTGTAGCATCTTTAGGGATTGGCTTGTGGAAAAAGGCATTCTAAAATATTGTCACGCTGGAAGGCGTGAGTTTGCTTGCCAAAATGGGAAAAAATGCTCTTGAAAGCTGATGATCAGATTTATTTGCTCTGTTGCTGGATTAATCCATGTACATTCTTAATGCCATCATCATTGAACCAAATTAAATATGAGGCAAGGGCATGGGTATGTGTATTTGTGTGTGTGTTTCAAAAATGTCACCATACAATTGTAGCCTGGACCCCTTTTACATACACTCTGCATGCAATTTGTGTGTGTGTGTGTATTAAAAAAGGAGGAGTATGATAGTGCCTCTGTTGCAAGTCTAAAAAAAAACTTCATTTAAGAAATGTTTTCCATTTCCATTTTGGCAAGTAAAACCCATAAATATTATTATTGGTGGATATTGCTGGTCATAGGAAAGCAACATCTGTTGTGAAACTTACAATCTGTGACTGGGTTTGGATTGCTAAATTCCTCCATGTGTTGCCCCCAAATTATAGTTTTTAACCTGAACAAATTAGGGAAATTCTATGTATTTAATTGGTTAAAACTGCCCTATTCATTGCACAACTCAGCACAATCGTTACATGGTTGGGAAGTAATTATATCAACAGTGTTGACATTAATTTCAATTATGCTGAAGTGCTGAAGTTCCTCTGCCCAATTTATGCTGACCATGTCCACTTTTCAGAGTTTAATTCCTGGTCATTTTCCTTCAAGGTCAAGGACAGCCCTCATAAAGGAATCATGTCTTTTTTGCTGTATCATATTACAGGTGATTACATTTTATTTTATGATTAATCATATGCTTACATGGACTAAAAATGTTTTCTGCAGTGTTAGTTTTCACTTCCATCAGAAACTTAGTAGGTTTATTCCTTCACATTTACATATTTCAGGGCTGTGTGTGAGTGTCTGAGCTTGCCAGCAATTCTTGTTCTTACGCTTCAGAATGCCTGCAAAGGGAAAGTTTGTGTGTGTGTGTATCTATCTTGTGGAGTTAGTGTGGGGAGCCACAAATTACTTGGTAGGAATTAAGGACTCTTGCTTATTGTTGCAATTAGTACTGTATAGAGCAGGGGTGTCAAACTTATTTTGGGGGGGGGCCATGGTGGGGTTGTGTTTGGGGGGGGGGGGGGGGGGGGGGGGCATGGCCAGGGTGGGCATGGCTGGCTCGGCATCACTTGTGTCAGAGGTACTTATGGTGGCCCGAGCGCTCTGCCAGAGAAAACTGCCTCCCAAGCTCTGGTTTTGGCTGTGATGCCTCCTTCAACCCTCTGCAGGTGAAAACTGAGCTTGGGAGGGCCACACA